TACACTTCCACGTCAGGGACTTCATGGCCTCAGGCTGAATCAACAAAGTCTGGCCTAAGACCCCACGCCTGGCCCCCACGCCAGGGCGCCCAGCGGACCGGGTTTGCTGGGACGGACAGGAGCCTCTCGCCAAGGGAAAGTCCTCCCTCTGCTCTCTCCCGCCCCGCACCGCCCCGGGCCCAGCTGTCTATTTTGGTCGTTTCCTGGTTTCTCCCTCGCCCACTGATTTCCTTTGGGATCTGCCCACTCTTCCTCTCTCACATTCCTGATCTCCGGCTTCCTCCTCAGACCCAGCTGCCTCCTTGGGCCCGTGCAGAAATACCGACTGTGATGAGACATCCTGGGATGACTCAACGGCTCCGAAACCCAGGGGTCAAAGGCCTTCCGAAGGGAGAGACCTCCGCGCCGAGCCCCCGGGATCCATGTCCCTACTCTGGGTGCAGCCCGCCATGGCGTCCTCTTTCCCCTCCACCAGGGGGATCCGGGACCCCACGCTCAGAGCCGGCCCCCGCCTCCAGCACACATTCTCTCGAAGCAAAGGCAACGTTAGGATGGCTGACGGCTAGGGCTGCGGGTCCACACGTCCCAGGCTTGAGTGCCGGCCACCGTACTTAAGCATCACATAGCCAACCGCAGGCAAACCGAACGCTCCACGCCCCTGATTGATTTTGTACAGAGAGGAAGGGAGATAGAGAGAAACATCGATGAGAGAGAGTCATCGACCAGCTGCCTCTTGCACACCTCCTACTGGGGATATGCCCGCAACCAAGGTACATGCCCTTGACCGGAATCGAACCTGGGACCCTTCAGTCCCTCTATCCACTGAGGCAAACCGGTTTCGGCAGATGACGTCCTTTCATTGTAACACTGATGAGATGCCTTAGGAACGTAACGCCGACACCGACTTGTCAGCCCTCATTTTGCTTGAAGTCAAGTGACATGGCTGTAGTCATAGGGACGGTGCTGACTGTTGTCAGGAAGCTGGCCTTCCACGGGCTGAGGGCGACTTCCCTGACTCAGGCGTCACCATTTCGGACGGTGAGCATGTTCAGTCAGCAATCAAGGTCCGCAGGGTTTCCAGGGGGGGACTGTGAGCAGAGCCTGCCCTCCCCCCGGACTGTACGGCTTCCTGGGCAGCGTGCCACCAGCCAGGGCTGAGTCCCAGGACCCCTGCTCCCACACCCGGCCCGCGTCTCGCTGTGCCATGGACCTGGAGGAATACAATGGCACCCGCTCCGTGTCCCACTGACTCGGACAGCCTGTCCCCGGACTGGGTCTAACTGCGTGAGATTTCACTGTACAGCCCATGCATGGTCCTTTGCCGGTGTGGATGTTCGGGTTTTGGAAGGTGGGATGGGCAATGAATTTTATTCTTTTTAAAAAAAAAAAATATTTTATTGATATTTTACAGAGACGAAGGGAGAGAGATAGCTAGAAACGTCGATGAGAGAGAAACATCGACCAGCTGCCTCTTGCACACCCCCTATGTGACTGCAACCAAGGTACATGCCCTTGACCGGAATCGAACCTGGGACCTTTCAGTCCTTAGACCAACGCTCTACCACTGAGCCAAACCGGTTTTGGCTGATTTTTATTCTTAATTTTGTTGTTGTTTCCCCCCCACCAAGGTGTAGTTGGCAGGTCACAGTGCCCCCCACCCCGGGGACATGAGCCCTGGGTCACCCACACGGAAAGCCACCAATTCTGGCCTTGACTCGCACATCCCAGCACTGCCGCAGGCGTACCCACCGGCCCTCGGTGGCCTTCCTCTGAGCGCGCAGGCCGGCACTGGGCACAGTTCCTGTCCGTGTGGGCCGCCTGCCCCCCTCATCCTCACCCCCAGGCCCCGGGCACCCCCTGATCCGTGAGCCCCGGGGAGGAAAGCACCCAGAATCTCTCATCTAGTCCGTCACCTGCCAACGCCGGAGCCCCCGCACGGCCAGCAGGCCTCCCCCGGACCCGGCTGGGAACACGCTCGGTTAAGTCTTCACAAAGCGAACGAAGCCTCACGCCTCAGACCCGAGGCCGCCTGGCAGGGAGGGCGCGGGGCCCCGCCCCCTTCGCCCCTCCGTCGGCCCTGCAGGGTGCCAGCCAGGGCTCCACTTGACCCCAGCACACCCACCGTCCTTCCTTCTCCTCCCCCGAGGCCACCGGCGGGCGCCAGCGGCCGCTCAGACGGGCCACTTGACCCAGGGTGTCCGGACACGGGGTTTGTGGCCGCCAGCCAAGGCCGTGCCCGCCCTGGCACAGACCCTCCCTTCGGCTCGGCTCCCGGTGCCAACGGCGTGCCGTCAGCCCAAGGGATCCAGCTGGGGACTCGGCCACCTGGGTGGGCAGGGCCTGCGGGGAGGGGGCGAGGGAGGAGGAGGAGGAGGAGGAGGAGGGAAACCTTGGGCACCCGTCTCCATGGCAACCAAACACACCGGCTGCTGGAGGAGCCAGGCGAGGAGGAAGGGGACTTTAAAAACCTGCACAAGCGCCCACGCATGGCCCTTCTGGGAGCGGAGACCAAGGACACGCTTCGGCGAGGGGGGCCGGGACGCGTGCAGGACAGCGGGCGGGGGCTGTGGGTGAGGACCCCCGACCCACCGGCCAGAAGTGAGGGGAACGGCTCCCGGTTACTAGGCAACGGTGACAATGACGCCTACGAAGACTGCAGGGGCTTGCCGGAACCGGTTTGGCTCAGTGGATAGAGTGTCGGCCTGCGGTTCGATTCCAGTCAAGGGCATGTATTCTGGTTGCAGGCACATCCCCAGTAGGGGGTGTGCAAGAGGCAGCTGATTGATGATTCTCTCTCATCAGTGTTTCTAACTCTCCATCCCTCTCCCTTCCTCTCTGTGAAAAAGTCAATAAAATATACTAAAAAAAAAAAAAAAAAAAAGACTGCAGGGACATGAAGGAACTCACGACAAAATAGTAAGTCCAAAGGGACAGGACACTTCGGATGCTGTGACCACCATTCTGAACATTCCAGAGACCCGTGGGCAAATCTGTGTACATTCGGACAAAGCCTAGAAGGGAACGCCTCAGCGGAAAGCCCCCGCTTCGGTAACATCGCAGGCTTCGGCTTCTGAGACCTTTGCGGCTGCCACGCTGTGATCACAACCGACACTGCGCTGAATGTTGTTGCTGCCTGTGAGCGGTGGGGAGCCAGGGCGCCCCAAGGACCCGCCCCCTCCACACGGGAAAAGGCCCAGGGGGGACCCCCGGGACCTCCCCGCTCCCCCAGGGGGTGGGAGGCTGTCAGAGCACCTCCCCGCTCCCCGGGGGCCCATTACCCAGACCGCACAGCTCCCATCTCCCGAGGGTGCGGGGCTGCCCCGGGGACCGGCCCCTCCACACGGGAAAAGGCCCAGAGGGGACCCCCCGGATCTCCCCGCTCCCCGGGGACCCATTACCCAGACCGCACAGCTCCCATCTCCTGAGGGTACGGGGCTGCCCCGGGGACCGGCCCCTCTGGGTCCTTCCGGGTGTGCGGGGCGAGGACCCGGGCAGCTGACCCGCCTGGCACGTCCTCCGCTTCCCTGTCTGTGAAAGTCACAAACTAAAAGCAGCTCACTCGTTGGCCTGCGGACTGAGGGGGTCCCAGGTTCGATTCCGGGCAAGGGCATGGACCTTGGTTGAGGGCACATCCCCGGTAGGGGGTGTGCAGGAGGCAGCTGATGGAAGATTCTCGCTCATCGATGTTTCTAGCTCTCTATTCCTATCTCTTCCTCTCTGTAAAAAATATCAATAAAATATATTTTTTAAAATATATATAATAATAATAATAATAATAATAAATATTATAAAAGCAGCTCACTGTATCTTTGCCCGTTGGGTCAGTGGGGCCTCGGCTTCTCCTGGAAGCATGTGTGAGCGTGACAAGACCCAGCATTTTGTTAGCACATTAGCAACACGATCCAGGAAGCCAGTGTGCGCGAACGCACGCGTATGTGTGCATGCGTGTGTGTGTGTGTGTGTGTGTACCTACAGAAACACGTCTCCGTGGTGTGTGAAGCTAGATTGTTTTCATAAATGAAAGGGGAACAGGAAGACACGCACGCACCCCACAGGGAAAACCAGGGTGTGCAAGGCCGAGCTGGATCCGGGAGCCCGGGCTCGGTGCCGGCTCTGTGCGGGGTCTCCAATCGTGAGCACCTTTCTCCCCATCTCTGGGCTGCTCCCCCCTCCTCTTCCCGGACGAGGGGGGTGGACCCCGGCCGCCCCGCCCCGCCCCCCACTGAGGCTCGCAGACGCACACGGGGCCCCCCCGGGGCCAGGGCGAGGGGCGGCGGGCGGCGGGCGGCGGGCAGGCACCGAACAAAGGCCCTTCCTCCCGGCGTCTGAGAGGCTGCGGGAGGGTCTCCGACAGCCCCCTCCCCTCGGAGCGGCGGCTGGGTGTCTCCACGCAGGAGTGTGTGCAAGCAGGAATGCAAGCCACCCTCTTTCCGCCGGAGCCCGTCCCCGCGCCTTCAGCCGCTCCGCCCGGGGCCCGGACACGCTCACACAGTTAGTTCTGTGCGGCGGGAGGCACGGGGGTGGCCAGCAGGACCCAGACGCCTGCAGCGTGTGACCTGCTCCGAGGCAAGGCAAGGCCCCGCTCGTCCGGTGACCGTCCGACCACGGCATTCCCATCGGGACACGAGGAGACCTCGGTCCAATGCAGAGCCGTCCACAGTCCTCCCTACAAAGCGGGTCCCGATCCACGCACACACGGGACACCTCAGGCAGGCGTTTTACGGGCAGGCACAGTGGGGGCTGGAGCATGAGGGTCCGAGAAGCCACTCAGCACATCGCCCACGTCCGTCCCCGGCGAGGCCTGGCGCCCTGGGACCGGTCACCTCACCTGGACGGGGCCCGTGGGGGTGGTACAAAACCCTGCGGAGCAGGCACCATCCTTCTGGTGGGACCGAGAGGGGACCCGGCCAGCAGCGTCATCAGGGCGGAGCCTCTGCCCTCCCCTCCCTTTCTGGGTCCCCACCCCCCCTGGCCTCCCCGCCCCGCCCGCACACACTCACTGCAGGCTGCACAGGTGAAGCAGGCGTCGTGGTACAGGTTCCCCATGGCCTGGCAGGCCTGGCCGGCCCCAAACACCCCTTTGCTGCATTTCACGCAGGAACCTGCAAGGGCGAGAACACACCGGTGAGTCAGAGGGAAACGGTGCCAACTGAGCCAGGAAAGAGCAAAGCTGGATGCTCCTCCCCATCAGCAGCACTGTCACCCACCCCACGGGTCCATGGGCCGCTCCTTTGCAAACTCTCCCCTTCCCCTCCCTCTCCCTCTCCCTCTCTCCCTCCCTCTCCTTCCTCTCTCCCTGCACCACCAGCCTTTCAAAGGTCAGTGCTCCCACCACAGCGAACAGCCGGCTGCCAGGCTGCCCTCCACTGCCCTCTGCTCTGCCACGCGTCCAGGCTGTCAGCTACTCCCCAAGGTGCCCAGAGGCTCCCTCCGTCTCTGGCACAGAGTCCCAAACCCCGCACTGTCATCAACAAGTGCTGAGCCCGCGCGGACGGCAGCATCTCAGCTGCATGCTTTCCTTTCCTTCTCAGGGAGGACCACGGACCGGGATCTCCTCTCCTCACTTCTTACAGAGTGTCCGCCCCGCGGCCAGGTCTGCCTGACTGCGAAGCAGGGGCTCTCCTCTGGCCCCGCACCTCCCCCGCCCGCCCCCACCCCCTGTGCTGGGTCTCGGCTCTCAGCCTGGCTCCTGGGCTCCCCTGCCTGGCGCCCTGTGCCCACCCAAGTCCCTCCACGTCCTTCGGGCCTCTCCCTCCCTTCGGCTCTCTGGCTCCGAGCGAAGTGACACGGGGAACCAGCAGTCACAGGGCCGCTCCGGCCTAGGACGTCCCACCCACTCACTCCCATGTGGCTGGAGCTAAGGTCTCTGAGCATCAGCTCTTGGTTGGAAAGAGGTCCGCCCACCTGCTTTGCACATTTGCAGGAGCAGCAGTGAAGGCTGCCTGGCAACCCAGGGGTCTGAAGAGTCACCTGCCTCGACTACCAACGATTACAGACTACGGCAAGCCTACGGAACCCCCGGCCTGGGGCTGTACCGCCACAGCCCACCATCCCCCATACAACGGGGAGGGGGCCCTGCCAGGGTCACTGTGAGGGACACGAGAGCTTGGCGCAGGGCCGCTCACTGGCGGGTGCTCGGGGAACAGGCGCACTAGAAAAAGGACGGTGCCAACGTCGCTGCCCTCCGCTGGGAGCTGCTTTAGCACGAAGGGAGCTCTCCGAGACTTCCCAGGTCCCAGGGCCGACGCCGTCCATCTGGACCAGCCCGAAGCTGCACCACCACAGCCAGGCGCTGGGCTGGTCCCCAGAAAGGAGCCCTGGATCCCCCCTTTCAAAGGACGCCCCCCCAGAGCAAGCAAAGAGCATCGCCATTACATACAGAATGCAGGACGCACGCACGAGCACGGGCACACACACACACATACACACGCATACGCACACGCACACGCACACGCACACTTTTTTTTCTTACAATATACCAAAATGTAAAGCGGTGTTTCTTCAGGTTGTCAATGACTGCTTTTACTTCTTGGCAGTGTCTGTATTTAAGAAATAATTCTTGCCGAAACCAGTCTGGCTCAGTGAATAGAGCGTCGGCCTGCGGACTGAAGGGTCCCAGGTTCAATTCCGGTCAAGGGCACATACTTTGATTGCGGGCACATCCCCAGTGGGGGGTGTGCAGGAGGCAGCTGATCCATGTTCCTCTCTCATCGATGTTTCTAACTCTCTATCCCTCTCCCTTCCTCTCTGTAAAAAAAATCAATAAAATATATTTAAAAAACAAAAGAAAAAGAAAAAACATATATTTAAGAAAAAATAATAAAATAAAAGATAATTCTTGTAAGGGCAGGTAAGAAGAAAAAGTGTAGTCTCAAAAAAAGTTTGGACACATTTGAGTAGATGGGGTGACGTTAAGATGTTGGGAAATTAATCCTATGTGCACACACATCTATGCGTCCAGCAGACGGCCGGCTCTCGTGCTCGGTCAGCGGGGACTCCAACTCTGGTTCCGACCTGCCAGGCTGTTCCCGGACTGCCAATCCCCCGCCTCTGCCTTCAGCGCCGAAAGCCCTGTGTCTCACAGTTCCCGTCACCCCAGGATGACGAACGAACGGTACCGCCTTCCGAGATGCACTCGCACCAACGCAACAGGCCCACAGAGGACACCCCGAGCCAGGGGCCCTCCGGCTGCAGCCGGCCCCCTGAGAAAAGCGCGCGACGGTGCCGGCCAAGGACACTGGCTCCTGGGGGAGTTCGTCTGCGAGGAACTCTAGAGGTCACAGCTTGTGGCTCTTCAGTTTCAACATTCTGAACAATTCCAAGCATGCAGAAAAGCCGAAAGAGTCGTAACAGGAACGCCCTCCCCATGTCCGCCCACCGCCCCAATTCTATGACTTGTTCACATCCATCAAGCCAACTATCCCTCTCATTTTTGGTCATGGTGGTGGTTCGTCCTCACCCAAAGGTATTTTTTCCCGTTGGTTTTAGAGCGAGTGGAAGGGAGGGGGAGACACAGAGAGAAACGTCGACGTGAGAGACACACGCCGATGGTTGCTTCCCACACGTGCCCCCGACCAAAGCCGGGGATCAAGCCTGCAACCGAAGTACGACGTGTCCTTGACGGGAATCGAACCCGGGACGCTCCAGTCCACGGGCGGATGCTGCGTGCACTGAGCCAAACCGGCCAGGGCCCATTTCATGGTTGATGCATTTCAACGTTACATTGCAATCGGGCGTCCATTTCACCGTCAACTCTTCCGCCTGCAAATTATTCCCTAGGGCTCGTTATTTCCAAGCAACAAAGGCTGCTGGCTGGTCACACAGCACCCGGAGCTCGCTCAGGGCGGACGGGGTGGTGCCTCCAAACACCGTGGACACAGCTGCTCAGCCACAAAAAGGAAGCCACCCCCAGGGGCAACCCCGGGCCTTCCCAGCTGAACCTACTGCAGAAACGTTACCGCGAAGAGCAGAGGAGCCCTGAGGGCCCAGGGCGTGGTCAGCCCTCCCACGGTCCATAGTGAGCCCCCAGGAAGAGGACCTTCAAGACCGCACGCCATGCCGAAACCGGTGTGGCTCAGTGGATAGAGCGTCTTGGCCTGCGGACTGAAGGGTCCCGGGTTCGATTCTGGTCAAGGGCATGTACACTGGTTGCGGGCACATCCCCAGTGGGGGGCGTGCAGGAGGCAGCTGATGGATGATTCTCTCTCATCAATGTTTCTAGCTCTCTATTCCTCTCTCTTCCTCTCTGTAAAAAAATAAGTAAAATATTAAAAAAAAAAAAAAAAAAAAAGGCCTGCCTGGGTGGGAAGCCGGCCACGCGCAGGAAGAGTGGACACATGTGGCCGGGGGAGCAGGGGCGCTCGGAGCAGCTATCCAGCTCCTGCTCGCAGGGCGAATGGCAGAATGGACAGCGGCTTCCAGGGGACTCGAGACAGCGGCTTCCAGGGGACTCAGGTGACCGCCAGGCCCCCGGGCTTCCTGCTAAGTTATCTCCCCACGTCAGGCCTTCCTCCCCTCCCGGCAGCCAGCCAGCGGCGCATCTTCTGGCTTCCTCTTTCTCCTCCTCCTCCTCCTCCTCCTCCTCCTCCTCCTCCTCCTCCGGGGGCTGAGGTCCACTCGCTCTCATCCCCCCGCTCGTCCTTCCCCGCCCTCCTGGGGGCTGGCTGACATCCTCTCCCCACGCCGACCGCCGACCGCTGACCATCTCCCACAGACACAGCAGGGAAGGGCCGTCGTCACCCCAGAGCCAGGACGGTCCCACAGGGAGCCACGTAGGTGGGAGCTGTTTCGTCCCCGCGGCCTGTGGTCAATGACAGAAAAGCAGGAAATAGATCTGTTCCTCCTTCGGCAGCAAACGCAGCCAGGCAGCGTCCCGTCTTAGGAAGGCCCGGGCCTGCTTCCTGGGAAGGAGCCAGCACCCCTTTCCGACGCCCGCGCCCCAGAAGCACAGACGCTGTGACGCGCTGAAGGGCACACGGCTGGCAGGTTTGAGAGACCGAACCGGAGCCCTACCTCAAAGGCCCTGTAAGCCCCGTCTGGTTGGCATGTCTATTCCAGCCACATGGAAGTGCCCCCCAAAATCAGGGGGCTCCTTCCTCACCCCCCGTGTGTCACCTGCCCTGAAAATCCTCTGGGCTGCCGAAACCGGTGTGGCTCAGTGGATAGAGCGTCGGCCTGCGAACTGAAAGGTCCCGGGTTCGATTCCGGTCAAGGGCATGTACCGTGGTTGAGGGCACATCCCCAGTAGGGGGTGTGCAAGAGGCAACTGATCGATGACTCTCTCACACCAGTCATCGATCTTTCTAACTCTCTGTCCCTCTCTCTTCCTCTCTGTAAAAAAAACACACACACACACACAAAAAACAATAAAATATATTTTAATAAACAAAGCAAAAAACAAGTATCAGCGAAACCTCAACTACAGATGCCAGGCCACAGGGAGGCCAGCCTCGGTTTGGGCGGGAGGGGGACCTCTCTGCCTCCCCCAGTGCTGGGTCCCCCACGGCGGTTCCCAGGAAGATCAGGGGAGGACCCGTGACACGGCGGGACTGACCGAAGGCCGGCTCCACCGGCCGGGCCTGGGCGTGCGCCCTGCACATGCATTGCCCCGAGTCGGCATGAAATCATCCCCGCACCCAGAGCCAGAGCTGAGCGAGGGTCAGGGCCGCGGCACCGTCCCCGTGCCCGGCAGAGGCGGGATTCACACACGGGCGCCAGCCACGCAGACTCCTGCCTCGGACAGCGTGAGACCCCGCAGCCCAGACCGCCTGCCCCTGAGCAGCCAGCCAGCCGGGTGAGGCCTGCGTCAGCATCCTCCGTGGTCCGGGAGGACGGTACACAAGCTCCGTCAGACTAGGCAGTGGGTGTGGACTGTACCCCAGCCCTCCCCGGGCCCCTCCAGCCCCTGCTCCTCTCGCAGGGGCGGGGGGGGGGGGATGGCTCCGGACGCTGCCCGCACCTTCCCTGCACACCCAGGGGCAGCCTCTCCAGCGTGGCCGGCCGGATGCTGCACCGCACGGCGGATCCCGCAGCCATCGGCCCCCTACTGCGCTGGCAGGGGTCCGGGGGAAAGGCGGGGGCACCCAGGTGGCGTTCAGGGGCA